TACCTTTTACCCTTTTTTACTATTATAGTTGAATTAACTCACACCTCCTAATAGGTGCTTTACTGTGTCTGCGCTGCACATGGCCAGCCTACCCGAGTCCACTTTATTTCATTTTATCACATATTGGATCACTCCTAAATTCTCCGAAATGCATTTATTTTGAATTTTATCCCTTCTTGTCTTGCCACTTATCCATCTCAACATCCTCATCTCAACTACATTTATCCTATGGGCATACGTTGTTTCTTGACCGCCAAACATTCCACCCCAAAAAGCAAAGCTACTCTCATAATTATCCTATAGAATTTTCTTTTCAGCTCCATTGGTATGTGGTGATCACATAAAACTCTAGTTGCACATCTCCTCTTTGTCCACCCAACTCTAATTCTATGTGTGAAATCTTCATCAATCTCTCCCTTTTCCTAGATTATCGACGCAAGATATCAAAATGGCACTCTTTTTAGTATTTCTTGGCCGTCAATCTTAACCACTTCATCATCTCTACTCTTATTATCGCTAAACTTGCATTCCATATACTCTTATCCTAGTCTGGCTAGTTTTAGATTTTAGAGCATTCTCTAAAGTTCTAACTTTGTGTTGATGCTGCTTCATGTCTCATTTGTCAAAAGTATGTCATCTTCAACTTCGTGATATATCCAAGCTATCAAATTTTACGTCAGATGGTCGTAAATAATTGTGACCACCTTGAATTAAAAGTAAATGGTCTTATACAATCCCTTTTTTTAAAATATCATCTTTTTTGGAGTTAAAAAAAAAAAAATCTCCCCATCAAAACGGAAGCAAGACTTATTGTAAAGAGGTCTACTAAGGAAGCAGTACCAAGAAGCCAACCCACAACTTACTAATAAGAAATTACACTTATACTATAAATATTCGGATTTTCAAAAACTGAAAATTCTTAGATTTCGATTTTTGAAAAACGAAAAATGGGCAGTTCTATCTTTTTAAAAAAAATTGTTAGAAAGTTGTAAAACAGATATATATGTAACAACAGAAACTTGAGGTATTTCCATAATAACGGTAAATATAACGGAAATATATATTATTTTCCCTTATTTTTTTAATTTTATTTTTTACTTACTTATGAATTTCCTTTAGTTTTATGACAATGGAGCGCATTAGATTGCTTTAGTTTGATAAGTTGCAAGCATGATTGTGTTAGTTTTTGGTTTTTCTTGAAATTTGAAATATTGTGTGACAATATATATGGGGTTTTTTGTTATCCTAATCAATTTTTATTAGGATTTTCTTAGAACATTAATTGAATATATTTTTGTTTTGGATAATCATCCCAAATTTGAATGAGGTTGTTACGGCCATTTAATTCAAAGATAAAGAACGCTACACCTGTTTGTATTATCTCATTTGCATTTGTTGGGTTGGTGTTCCATGCATGTAGAAAGGATTGAGTCTGATTCAAGTGACTGCATCGCGACCACATGAAATCGCCCCTGAGAGAATGAAATTAGGTTTTCCTTGCTACGAATATTTTCAATTCCGATGGTCGAATTTCTTCTAAGGGTGAAGGTGATGAAACCATAGAACTAAAAAGACCCTTCATGCCTTCTGACCCTACAAATTGTCAATTGGTGTGGGTTTGTGGAAGTGAACAATGAATCGTCTCTAGCCAACCGGATTCAAATACTAGGGATTGTCGACCAAATCGGGCAGAGGTATAAAGTTTATCTTTCTTTGAACTCATTCAAAGGGGAGTGTTGAGGATAAATTCTGCGGTTACTGCATTTTGATCCTCCGCTGAATGGACCATAGAAACCGAATAAAGGTGCTGCAGTCTTCATTCCGAGCATGATTTCATTGCAATATCAAATTTTCATTTACGAAGTTGGTGAAAAATGTTGTGTACCAAGTGTGCGGCTGATGAGTGTACATGGCGAGTGCAGCGTAATAATATTGGCATGACCATTTTTTAATATGAGGTTGATAAATGAACGTATTTGTGCAGGTCTAATGGGTGAAGTTCATTAATCCTTAGCTCGAAACGAATAGGTGGCAGGAAGGATCAAAGGTCATTTGAATGACCCGCCCAAGCGATATTAGAAGTGATGTATGTTGGCTTTATTTGGCCTTATGAGAGCTTGTATGGGCATCTTATGTAGTGAAACATAAACACAGTGGGAGTTTGGTCTTTTTGTGGATCATAGTAAGCAAATGTAATTTATCGATACTTAGACTAGGCTCGACGTGTTAGACCAACCGAGTTTGGAAAACCCAAGATACCTAGGCGTAGGGATCTACCGAGAATGGTTTAGTGGGTAAGCCCTTGATGAGGTCGGAGTATGCCCAGATAAAAGCCGATGGACCGTTTGGCCTTTACGTGTGATAAATAGCCTTTAGAGACAGGGCGAAAAACCTCATTGATATATCATCACACAACACGTACATTTATAGTTATATTGAGATTCATCAATGAGGGTGAAACGTGCACATGTAAGAGACATTACCCGTATGTACCATAGCATTATGGTTGCATCATGGTCTGGAAGACCATGATTTTTTATCCCTAGGAGAGAACCTGAAATCTATAAACTGGGATTACGTTCCCTAATCTATTGGCTTATTTTGGTGGTCCAATCATGAGCCCCTGCAATAACATGTGGGTCATTGAAACTGCTGGGTCAGTTTGACAAAGCTAAGTGGATCATGGTCCGTAGTTGAAGGTGAAGTGCTTCCGTATATTGAAAAATTCCTCTAATCGATCTTATTCCGATCAAACTTAATTAGTTTTAATTAATTTTATGATATATGATTTTTAGAATATTTATTTGAACTTTTTTAAATCTTCTGATATATAATTTTTGTCATTTGGATTTATAAATTAAGATAAACTAATTTTTCAATATTTTAAATAAAATATAATATTTATAAATATAAAATACAAAATAAAATATTTTCTAAAATTATATATAACCTTCCATAAATATGGTGGCCCAATTTAGAACATGTGGGATTAGATGGGCCCATGTGTGGCCATCAAAGGGTGGCTCGCCCTCCAAGATTGGGCGATAGTTATCTCTTTGTTTGCTGGTTTTTTCTTTTGGCTATAGCCAACTTGCATTACAAGATTAAATATTTAAAATATTTAGTAAATACTTGAATCAAGATTGGTTGATCCTAGAAATAAAGATTAGATATACTAAAATAGAAAATAAGATATATACTTTCTTTATTTAAAGATTTGATGAGAATAGATCCAGAAAAGAGATGATAAGGCTCTAAGTCATCTTTGAATCTTGATGGTGGATCAAAGAGATGGATGACTCAAATCTTTCACCCCAAGTCTTCCTAGAACGACCATCAATATTTGACCCTACGAATTGAGGTAAATCCTAAAGTATAGAAAATCTATAAAAAATGCTCTCCCAACTCATAAATCTCTACACTATTCTCTCCTCTCTCTAAGGATTTATCTCTCTCTCAAAGATCTCTCAACCCACCTAGATCTTAAGATCTCTCCCAAGTTTTTCTATTTTAAAGGGCACGCCCCAACCAAAATCTCTCTCAAGCTAAGAGGGCATGCCCAAGTAATATCTCTTGCCCCCAGGGGGCATGCCCAAGTCATCTATCTCTCTTGCCCCATGCCCAAGTCATCTATCTCTCTCTCGTTTCTAGGTGGCATGCCCAAGTAATCTATCTCTCTCTGCCCAAGTCATCTATCTCTCTTCCCCCCAGGGGCATGCCCAAGTCATCTATTTCTCTCTCGTTTTTAGGTGGCATGCCCACGGCTCCAGAGGGCATGCCCAAGTAATCAATTTCTCTCGTTTCTAGGTGGCATGCCTAAACTAGGTTAATTTGTGGTGGTTTGATTTTTGAGCAGCAAAAAGGAGGATCCCCTTGCTAGTAGATCTCTCCCTCTCTTTTTTATCTATCTTTCATCCATCCAAGGATCACTGTTTTTTATTTATCTTTCATCTATCCAAAAGATCAAGTCTAAAGGACCAAAGGGGCTTCAGCAAGACTAAAATATTGAGGCTTTAGGTAGTTGGTTCTAAATTGAAATCTATGGCACCAAAGATCAAGCCAAATCATTGAAGCCTTAGGTAGTTGGTTCTAAATTGAGATCTATGACACTAAAGATCAAGCCAAAACATTGAGGCCTTAAGTAGTTAGTTCTAGAATGAGACTAAGGAATTGAAGACTTATGTAGTTAGTTCGTTCTAAATGGACTTAGGTAATTAGTTCTAGATTGAAATCCATAAACTATTAAGAGGGTTTTGCCATGTGTAGGAGAATCAAGAGACCGTTCATAGATCCCGAGCACCATCCCTCTGGCAATTTTACTTCTTTAAATCTTTATTTGTGATTTGATCTTCTCTTCTCATAAAACAATGAGTTAAGGTTTTGATTTAAAGAATTGTATTCAATAGTAGTAACAAGTGCGAACCGTATTTCTTTTCTTTTATTTATTTGTTTCAAGAGTTATTTGTTTGTAATTGGACATTGTGAGTGGTCTTGCAGGTGTAAGAATAATAAAAATAAAAATAAATTTAATTTATATATACTGTGTTTGATAACATAGTCCAACTTCCAACGTACAACAGTTACATGTTGTCCTACATGCAAGCATTGCGAGGTAAGAAGGCTGCTCTTTTTTTCTCTTTTTGTTAAACTGCAGTTGAGTATTTTGCTGTTGAAGTAACATAAGGCTCATTTGAGCAGTCATATAGGGAGCTCCCACAGCACTTATACAAGCTCTAAGCGACGAACCACAGGAGTGTAAGATAAATACAAATAAACACTGAGCAGAGGTTTGAACGCATATTATTGGCATGCAATTAGTGCCTCCAAGGTTTCTTAAGTGGGTGTAGGCCATGGGGTAGATGGGATGTTAATCAAGGGAAAATACCAACAGATTCAATTGTGCAATGTCAGGTTATATGCAAATTGTGGTATATTTCCTATAGCCTTCATAGCGGTATGAAGGAGAAACTACTAGAAGTGAATATGGTTTCGGACAACTCTAAAAGAATGGCCGGATGTCGAGCACAACTTGCTAACACCAAATACACAAAAAGGAAAACACAATCAACGAGTTGTTTCTCAACGGCTATCAAGGATATTGCACACATCATCAAGTCAAAAACTCCGAGGAGATGGGAGAAGTTACTGTACAGACAACTCCTCTGGCATGCTTATGAATGCACCGTTGCATAATTCGATCATTTCATGTCCCAGATACAAAATGCAGATCCACATTCTTATGAGTGTGGATCACAGAAAATCTTGTGCAACACTGGGGAGCTGCCAATTTCACCCATGCTAGGTATGATCATCTAACCTCAAATATTGCCGAGTCATTAAACAAGTGGATATTACTTCCCAGGGACAAACCCATCACTGTACTCGTTGAATGTATCAGAACAAAGCCCATGAGCTGCTGATTTTCAGATAGACTAGAGATTGCAAGGAACTGGAGCTGCATAGTAGGCAGGTATATATTTGCAATGAACAAGAAGTTACCTTTTTTTCTTTCAAATTATTCACCCCAATCGATTCCTGGGCTCCAGAGCAAGCTCAGACTCTGGTATAACCATAGAACAATATTAGTCATTATTAACTAAACTTGGCATTATTAACCAGACTAGTGAGATTGTCATTTCTGAAACATGTTAAAATTCTGTTATTTTGTATCTCTGCTTAAGCAAATTTCCTTATCCAATATGACTTATTTACAACAATAATATAAACATCTGAACGAATGGACATCAGAGTAGCCAAGATTACTATTAACGGAAGTACACCGAAACTACCTATGATAACTTACAAATGCAGAACCATCAGAAACTGTAAAAGAACCCTTCAAATTACATCCACTCACATGCCGCAACAATAATCCAAAAGCTTATCACTGGCTTACAGTTTACATGGGATCTCTCTTCTTGGCTTCATAGCAGGGGGGGTTACGGACGAAAGCATTATGATCTGGCTTCAACCCCCAACATACCCACACAAAATAGTAAACCATAGCTTTTGGGTACTCCTAAGTTGCAGAAGAACCATTACCTCAAACGAAGTTTCAATTCCTATCAGTATTATAACGGATAGTACAAAAACTGATCTCCATAATAAACATCATAAGAATACAACTGAAAAAAATTCTCTGATCAAGAGTTAAAGCTAATAACAGGCATCCTCTCTTTACAAAAAAACTATATCGTGCAAGGAACAATTTCAAGAGGAAGATAGCACTGTAAAATCACAGAACCTTGGCAGTAAAATACAATATAATTAAATTTCTCTTGTCAAAGGTTTCTTACCTATCACTGTTTTTCTTCCTTAACAGATTCCCAAACCTGTGCAGTAGAGCTTTCTTCTTTGTCTGCCTTGGGGGGGACCTTCTCTCAGTGTCCACATCCTCCATGTTTGGCCCCTCAACATGATCAAAATCATCTGAATTTATTGTCTCCCCATCATCTGGCCCTTCATTAGATGATGACAGTTGATTGGTCAATTTTAAATCACCATTGGTATTTGCAAGCTCCACAAAATCTACAGCTTTCTTCTTTCCATAATGCATTATCGGATTCTCTTCAACTCCATTTTTGATGAGAACCTCTGATGGATACTCTGTTGGGCTCTGATTTCCTTTCTCCAGATCCACCTCAAAAGAAGAATCACCTGAATCTTCATCTTGACTGGGAAACCTTTGATTTTTGCAATCCTCAAATGGCCTACTCAGAGTTGATGATACTCTTGCAGCTTCCTTTGCCTTGAGTTGATCTTTCTCTCTGCTCAACCTCTGCAATTCCCTTTCCATGGCTGATAAACTGTCTTGAAGCCTAGCATTTTGCATTGCAACCATTTCATTGTCTTCTTTTAGAGCATCGGCTTCTGACTTTGCCTCTTCCAAAGACTCCTTCAATTTTAGACTCTCCTCCTTGGCCACTTTCCCCTCTTCCTCAACCTCCCTAACAAGAAGAATAAGTCTCTGAGTCTCCCTTTTCGTTACAGCTGCTTCCTCTTCTGATTCTCTTAAACAAGCAACCAACCCAGTTTCCTTCTCATTCCAACATGTAATTGCTTCCTCTTCAAGTTCCTTTGATCGTTTTGTCTCTTCCTTGAGCTGATTGATTTCCTTCCTTGCTTCTTCAAGTGATTTTTGAAACCCACCTTGTGTGGATTGCATTAAAACCTTCATTTGCTCCGCTTCTGGTTTTGTGCCATCAAGTTGGGAGAGAGTAGAAGCAAGCACCTCCTTCACTTGGTTGGCCTCTGCTGTGACCTCGTGCAAGGCAAATGCAAGGTTATCCATGGCCTTCTTGCTCTTCTCCTCTGCCTCTATTGCCAATTTCAGCTCATTCCTCAAATGGGCAACCTCCTCTGATAGCCCTTTAACACTCTCTATGGCCATGTTTTCCCTCTGTAGAGCATGAGCCAGGTCCTCCTTTGCAACTTCAAGCTCTTGTTCAAGAACCCCAACAGTCTCGGTCATGGCATGAGTGTCAAGCTTCGACTTCTCAAGGCAACTGTGTGAGACCTCAAGGTCCCTTTTGATCTGCTCAACCGACGCCTGCAAAGCTTCGACATGCTCTCTCAAAAAACTGATCTCAAGCTTTGCCTCCTCCAAATTCATCTTGGTTTCCTCCAAAACCTTTGTTTGAGAAACCAGAGAATCAAAGGTCCTAGCCTCCGCTTCCTTCGCTCTCTCCAAATCCATCTCCAATGTTCCCACCCTTTTCTGGTTCTCCCCTGCCAAACCCATTGCCAAAGACTCAGTTTCCCTCGATCCATTCAACTCAGACTCCAGCCTACCAACCACTGCTTCCAGCTCTATCAACCTCAACCCCGCCTCATTCGCACTCTGCAACTCTTGCCTCAGTGACTCCATCTTCATTTTCTTACACTCAATAGAATCCATGACTTCTTTATTCTGAGCTTCACTCCTTGAATCCTCTAAATCCTTCTTCTCCTTAGCGTCCAAAATCTGAGCATTTAAAGCCTCGAGAGAAGCACTTGCGCAATCAACCTCGGCCACAAGCCGATCATTTTCAAGGGAACCCAAATGAACTTTAGCATTCTTCGCCTGGCTGAGGGCCTCTTCTTTAGTCTCCTTCGCACAAGCCAGCTCCTGCTTAAGCCTCTGTAACTCCTGAGTTACAGAAAGAAGAGCTTCAACATCAAGCACATGTTGCTTTTTAACAGACTCGAGCTCGAGCTGCCATGCGTCTTCCTTCTTGAGAGCTACCTCAAAATTGGCCTGCTCCAATTCGTCGATCCTGAACTTTGCAATCTCTGAGCTCTCTTCGGCCCTCTTTTGAGCCACGAGAGCCTCGCTTAGCCTCACGTGGGCCTCCTCGGTCATTTTCTTCGTTACATGGAGCTCCTCTTGCACGCGGGCCTTCGATTCGTCAGCCAAGGCAAGCTCGTCCCTCGCCTTACACAGCTCCTCCTGAGCCTGGCCAAGCTGCTCTTGAAGCTCTGAAACTCCTCTGCTCAAAAGTTTCTGCATCAGGAGATAGAGAGACAGTGATAATCTCCACGTTCAAATTTATGAGCCCCAATTCTATAAGAGAGAGAAACTAAAAGGCATGAGAATTTAATGAATCTATGGAAATGGGAAACCTTGGGAGAGTTGAGGTCGACGGATTTGGAGGATCTGAGGTCAAGCGCTTTGGAGGATGTATCAATGGAAGCCCTTCGAGCCGAAGGGAAATCGGATTCCGCAGATATTTTGGAGAGCTTGTGGTTGCTGTTGCTGCTGCTGATGCTGTTGTTACGGGCGGGGCGAGGGGTTATCTTGTTGGGCGCCATTGGAGTGGACGCAGATCTATCAAAACCAACAACTTTCACATATAATTACATCATCCCCTACCTTACCACCACTATGACCAGCGTTTACAGAGAGAGACACCATTAAGAGATTTCAGAGAGAGAGAGAGAAAGATTAGGGAAAAAAGGAAAAATGGGTAGCCACCCTCTCGTACCTGGATTTGGAGGAAGACATTGGTTTGTTCATTGAGAAATGAAAGGCCGGCCGGTGGAGATAGAGAGAGAGATGTGGCGCCTGCAAGACGATCAGTGACCGGAACCTACGGGTCTCCCTGTATATGTCGAAGAAGCCGGCCGCTGTGTTTGCAAAGGAAAAGACTCGGTGTGTCCGGGGTCTAAAATGTTGAAACTTGAAAGGACTGGCAGCTTACTGAGAGAGGGAATATCAAGATTCAGGAGATCTAGATTCCAGAGAGAAAAGAAGCAAAACAGGGAAATACGGTGGCCGCAGGTTCGAGATTTAGAGTTTTTTCAGTCTGGTGCTTCAAGAGAGTAAAAAGGTGCTTCAAGAGAGTAAAAAGGCAATCTTTCTGGCTCACAAATAATGAGTGTGATGTTATTGCACATGGCTAGGGTCTAAGAGCTGTCGTATTTGGAAAAGTTGTCTATCCTATTGCTATTTCGTCAATTTTTCGTACTGTAAAACGTAATCTATTCTGGTTACCCCGTCGGAAATGAATGGGTCGGTCTTATTTGGCAATCTGTCACCCCATACTGATTTTGTGAATATATAGGAAATTGTCGAGGTCTTGAAAAAAAACGTCGATTTGTTAGTAAAATAACATTTTGCTATATTAAAAACACCAATTCACTTACCCGAACTAGTTTTTGGCCCGTTTACTATTGTTGCACATGTTTTTTTATCAGTTCACAATTTTTTTTGTACTGTAAAACCGTGATCCGAACTGACGATTCACCAATTCAAACCAATTTTTAGGATGCCCGATCTTGGTCACCCATCTGTTTTTTAAATCAGTGATCCATTCTATTATAGATGCAATTAGCATGCGGCCGGCCCGCATATTGTAGAAATGCGGGCTTGGCAATAAATATATTTTTAAATATAATTTGATCCTAATTTTTAGAGAATATATAATCTTTAACATGGAAATCATGAATATGTCCTAAACAAAATTAAAAAATAGACCGGTAGTTACAATTATTTTTAGATAGACCACCTATACAAATAGATGCTTTATACTTCTGGACCGCATATTGTAGAAATGCGGTCCCAACCGCATGAAACAATTGTTCTTCTATTATTGGTCGATATGTGTTCTTCTATTATTGGTCGATATGATCATGGCAAAATTCAAAGGAAATTTTTGCATTTGCTTTCTCATCGCTCGGTTTAAAGTTTGTTTAATGAGATTTATCTATTTGCCAACGCTCACATCATGTCCATTGATGCCACCCGCATAATGGATAGGAAACCTTGTTGACGTTCACCGTTCAACAATTTTGTTGATGCGTTTGACGTCAAACATAATCTACTTATTTCCAAATTATGCATTTTCTCACGTAATTTCTTTCCCTTCTTCTACCCAACAAGGACACTCGAATTCGAATGCCCTTTTAAAACAAAAAAAGAAACATTTCTACCTAGGAACATGGTCCATATTATGGTAAATTTTGTATTGAGAGCCTACATTTTCATGTATTTTTTTATTCATGTTTTGCTCTCGATCTAATGATGCAAATATCGAACTATTTTAAGTAAGGGTGTGGTTTCTATAACGTTGCAACCTTAAACAATTGAGCAATGATTTCATGCAACTGTTGTATAGTAATATGTTGCAATATTCTTAAAAAACCATTTTATGGCCATTTGTTTGATCCAAATTTTTAAATATACACTCTTTTCATTCTAATGAACAATCACAAATAAAAGAAAAAATTGAAAACACAACCTAGAAAGTATTTTTTTAGCCCAATTAACACAGGCCGTTCATTTTGGTGAGATGCTTAGATCTAGGTCTTAGAATAATATTTTCATTTCTAATGTTTTTGGATGACTTTATTATCATTAGATGAACAATGTTAGAAAATAAAAAAATGATTTTGAGTTTATAAAGGCTAAGATCTTGAAATTCACAAAATGAATGGTCTAGATTCGTTTTTGAAGAGGACTCATTTTGACCGTATCTAAGGTTCAAATTGAACTTTTTTTTGGAGAGGATTGATTATCGAGATGAAGAGAGTGTGTGTGCAAAATTTGAGGTCATACAAATACCACAAACATGGTTTTCTAGAAGAGTCGTTTCATTATACAATGATACAACCGTTACATTGGATCATTGCTCTAAACAATTTAATTAAGGTGCCCTCCAAATTTATTATAATATGTAATTTTGATGTAAAAAATTTGTAGGATTATGTCAAAATTTATTTTCAACTCTAATTATAAAAATTGAAACTCCAAAAATGGTTAAAATCAAGTACATCTATAAACATAAGAAAATCTTGAAAATGAATGGTCTAGATAGTATGTTCCAATATGCAATATTTCTGGGACTTAATCTTTTTTTCTTTTTTTTTTTTATATTCATAGATCTCGATGTCGAGATGATCAATTAGAGGATCTTTTAACATTAAAACAACCATTTCCGATAGATTTTTGATGTGCATCTGTAATTCTACATTTTAAGGCTACAACCTTATATAAACTTTTCCTTTAAGTAAAAGAAAAATTTTACATATGTAGTTGTACTCGAATTCGAAGACCCTTTAAGTACCATATGCAAAGAAAGGAATTTTACATATGTAGTTTTGTTCCATGTTTTATAAATTTTATGTTGAGGACCTACATTCATCCTTTCTTTTTTTATTCTTGTTTTGCTCTCGACATCATCATCCAAACCTCATTCTAACTATTTGGGTTTAGCTACATGAATCATATTTAGGATTTATGAAAAGATCTGGTAAAGTTTTACATTGCCTGCATATCTAACAAAACCCTTATCCTTTATCTGAGCTTGACAGGCATGACTATAATGTTGTAAATATCAAACTATTTTATTTTTATTTTGTTATTTTTGTAGTTGTGTAATCTCCTACTACATATTGGTAACTGACCCAAAGCAATTTGATTATAAGGCGGTCCGCTACCCCAAGGTTTAAAGGATCATTTCTAGGGCTATCAAATATTAAAAATATAATACCATCTTAAGCTCCATATTTTAGTTTGTATCAGGCAGTACGATGTTAGAGATATTTTGCATTTTCTTCTGATGCCTCCAACATTGTATTATATTTTAAATAAATAAATAAATTTAATTAGTCTAATATCTCTAGTATCAGACCGACTCATACTCTACTTCCTGTCCTTTCAGTAAGTATGTCATATTTTTCATTTTCTATTGTCTTTTAGTTCAAAATTTACCTTTGGCTATAGGACCAACATCAAGGGCTACGAATTGGAAATTGAGAAGGGCAATAATTATTTGGTAGCATGATTGTGCCACCCAATAACCCATGAGATGTGAATATTATGGATTTACGAGATTGGTATTTTCTTATCTTTGGTTTCCTAGATATAAGGTAGTTTCCTACCATGTTGTTATTAATAACCTACTTTTGTTTAAAAGTTTATTTTGGGCTAGAGTCATATATGGATATAATGATTATATGGATCCAAATAGAAATGGTATTGTTAAGTTTTCTAAAGAGTTTTTAATTTTTTCTACAATGAAAGTGGGATCAACACAGTGTATATAGTTTTTAAAAATTTTTTTTCACACCAACTAGAATACTTATAATAGTTCAATTACAATAAAATCAAATCAACTCAAAATAAAATAATAAATGAATAAATCAGTTCTCACTTGCTACTTCTATTTACAACTTTCTTTTATTGAATAAAACCAACACAATGCTTTATGAGAATAATAAATAAAATACTACAAATCATAAAGCAAGATGTCGGAAGATTACTTCAATCAGACTTAGACACCTCACAACGGATCTCCTCCTCCAATAGCGCATGGGATCAATGGTCAATCTCAGATCTTCTAAATATGGAAAGGCTCTGGCTAAACCCCTTCACATAAATATGAGAACAAGAACTATTTGATAGAGTCAAGGTCTCAATGCCGAAGGCAATGTTATGAGTGGGGAGTGTCCATCTCTATAGTCTCTTAAGGAGATGTACCCCCTATCTCTCTTTAGAGAGATGTGGCCTTCAAGAGAGATAGATAGAGGAATTTTTCAAAGGGTTTTATGCCACCCTAGAGAGTTTAGAGAGAGAAAAACTTTTGATGTTGAGAATGAGAGGTGATGATGCCTCTATTTATAGGCTTTTCATGTGGATAAGGTTCCATAGGGATAGTCATTTTTGTAGAATAATCATACCCAATTGATCATAAGAGACTTGTGAGGTGAGAGATCCAAGTCATTCATTCCTTAGATCAATCATCATGATTCAAATGATGATGCATAACTTTATCTTTCAATTTCCTAAACTTTTATCCCATCAAATAGAAAATAAGTAAAATATCAAATGGTATCTATTTATGTAATTATCGCTTTTACATAAATCTAATCATTTTAGGAGTTGAACTCTTTAAAACATATCTCTTTTAGAAATCCTAATCTCTTAGGGTTCATAGAGCATGTCATGTTTTAATTAACTATTCAAAAAATATGATCCTAATCAATAGATCTTAAATAAGTGAATCTAAAAATTGTAGAGAATTCCCCACTTTAAGTGGGGGGTGCCAACTAAGGCTCCCATAGTGGACCCCACACACATCCCAATAGGTCCTGATAGGCCCACATAGGCCTTCATCTATTATATTACTTTTTAAAATAAACAAATTTATTTTTAGTATTTGAAAAATAAACTTTTTTTTTATTATTATTTAAATACTAAAAATTTAATATTTTTTATTTTATAAATTTATTGTACAAAAATAAAATATCTAGAGACTCACAAAATTTTAAATAATCATTCCAAAAATCAATTAACATCAAAGCAAATAAAACCAAGTAAATTTGGTGGGAATATAATCCTTCTAAGTTTAGGAATTAATAATTCTGAAGCACTCCATCTTTTATTGTGGACTATTAATCCACACTTGCTTTCTCAAACTGACCCAGTAGTTCCTAGGACCCATAGACTACTGCAGGAGTTCATGATTCGGCTATCAAAGTCAACCAACAAGGAGATATAATCTCATTCTATGGATTACAAGTTCTCCTAGAGATGAATTCATGTTCACCAAAACCGGATACAACCACAACTTTATGGTGCATAAGGGTAATCTCTTGCACACGTGCACGTTACACCGTCAATGGTGTCTTGCTTTTCTGATACAGTTATCGTATGCACATGCCGAGTGAGGGTTCAGTGATGAGGTTTCGGCCCTCGTCTCTAAAGGCCAATCATCACACACAAGGTTTACATAGTCTATTGGCTCACTCATCGGGGAAACTTCGACATCATCAAGGGATAACCCATAAACCCTCATTGGTTGTACTCTATGTACAAGTATTTCAAATTTTTTCCAACTCGATTGCCCCAGCTCGTCAAGCTAAGTTTAA